TTATTTGACTCTCTTTACTTCATTTACAGGTATACTATCGATTCAACAAAGAGGAACATTGCGCCCTCGTGTCAGTTCACCGACAAGAATCGAACATCCGAACTTACCACCCCTTAATCTTCATCTGCATAAAAGATCATTTCGTAAAGGTTCCGCCACACTGCAAGCCTCAGATACATTGCTAAGACGCAGCAGTATTACATCATCAACTTATATTCCCACCATATAAATTCGATGTCCAATCTTTTTTATATTTAAACATGTTTATACAATAAGCAACGTGAATCGTATGTTACCAATTTGTTATCTTCGCCTCACTTTAATGATAAATACGCAATAGCCGCGTAAGTCGAACAAAGCGACGTAATCATTGAACGACGCGTGTAAATTAGATCTACACGCCTTGTACGCATTTAACATTTACGAAAGTAGACTTACAAAGGTAACGAAGTTAGACATATTTAAATATATAGTATATTACTATGTATATGTTAAATTTTTATTATGTATGAAATATCATAATAAATTATTCGAAATGTACGAGATTTGGTTTTGTCTCGAGTGTTATTGCAAAAGATTTCCCAATTGTTACCACATGTATGAAAATCATTTTTATATTTCTGTTTTTCTTTTTAGAAATTATTTTTTTGTACCTCGAACCAGTTAACAATTCAAACAATAATTTTGACTTGAAGCAAATAATTCAATTCGGATCATAAGCGGATTTGGATCTATAGAAAATTGAAAATGAAAGATTTCTAAATCTATAAATAATAAAGAATATTAAGTATTTTATCGATGCATTAATTCAACGTGAAAGCCTTTCACAATGTATGTTTCATATTTCCCTCCATTTAATAACACTATAAGAATAACCCAAGATATTGAAGTCTTATGAATCACAACCCTAATGTTTAACCAATTATTAAACATTGAACTATTATGAAAATGTCTTTTATAGTTGAATATAGTTATTGTTAATGTTTAAATGATTTCATAATTTTATACGCGACAATCCATACCATAGAATACTATAATGTAGGTAGATGCAAACGCTGTTTTTGCCGAAGGCATCTTACAAGCTAAAGTGGGTGGATAACTACGTATCACGTTAAATTGTAGTTTGTGTATCGGTTATGTCACTTTATCGAAAAAAACAAACTTTTAAAATGTTTTTTCTGTGACAGAACGTATTACATTATTTAACACATAAACTTAAATAATTTCTCTTTGCATACACTGTAACGAACAGTACTATTTGCAAGGAATTATAAAAATGATACGAATTATGCAATAAAGTTACAAACAATTAAAGTTCATTAGGATTATTTTTAAATTTATATATTTATATAGTATGCATTAAAGTATGGTTTAAATGCAAACAAATTACCATATAAAATTAAAGTAAACCAACATGATACTTCCAACAAGATTGTCTCATAAAACAACTAAATTATCGTATCGTTACCAAAATGTTTTTATGATATGTTTGTTGACGTTTATGCTGTTTATTATTTTAATTGCAGTATATCACATCTTAAAATTTGGAAGTACTCAAAAACATTCTGTTCATAATGCTATAGTACTTAATGACTTAAGTTCATTGCGTACTCAAATATTAAATGTAGATTCTTTAATGGGAGATGCTACAAATCTTTCTTGTACATATTTTGGTTGTTTTAATGTTTATCGATGTGGTAGTCAAGGAAATAAGCTTCTAATTTATGTTTATCCGCCAAAAATATACGTGGATGCTTTAGGAAGACCTGTAACGAGTCAGATGACAAGAGAATTTTATCAAATTTTAAGTACTATTATTTTAAGCAAATTTTATACACCAAATCCATATGAGGCATGTATGTTTATTCCATCGATTGATACATTAAATCAAAACAGATTGAAGTTACACGAAGTTTCACAAGCTATGAAAGCGTTGCCATTGTGAGTTTATTTTTATTTAAATTTTAATTAATAATGTGTTTACTATGGGTAAAGTACTGAAATGAATTGAATATTTAATTTTGAATGAGAAGCTTTATTCTTTATATTTATAAATATTTGATTAATACTCTATATAAAATATTATTTTCTTTAGGTAATAGTTTGTTAATAATTTTATTGCACTTTTTAAATTTCAGCTGGAATAATGGTGAAAATCATCTTATATTTAACATGGTTCCTGGAAGTGTACCAGATTATAATACAATCATTGATGTATCTATTGGGAAAGCAATGATTGCAGGTGCAGGAATGTCTTCCTTAACATATAGACCTGGTTTCGATATTAGTTTACCAGTGTATAGTCCCCTTATAAATAATCTTAAACCAAAGTTTAATAATACAAGGTAATAAATCATATATATGTACTTAATATAGTGTGTTTAATTTAAATGTATAAATATAATTACTTTTCTAATTTTTGAGAAGCCAAGGAATTTATTCAAATACACTTACAATGTATAAATATATTAACAACTTACTTTTTCAGGATCTGGTTAGTCATTTCATCTCAAATTAATATTAACTCTGCCTTCGAACAAGATTTGTTAGAAATAAAATCCATGTCTCCGAATGATATTTTAATATTAGGCCCATGTCTACATTATAATTCTATGAATGCTACAGTACGATGTGCAGGAGAAGAAGTGTATAGATATCCTAATGTACTTCAAGTATGTAGAGAGTTTGAAGTATGAAAAGGATGGAATTGTTTTTAAATATTGTAATAAAAAATTATTAATTTTAGGCAGCAACGTTTTGTCTAGTAATTCGTGGAGCAAGATTGGGTCAGAGTACTCTTCTAGAGTGTATGGCAGCAGGTAGCATACCTGTTGTTATAGCTGATTCCCTTGTAATGCCATTTCATGATGTAATTGATTGGTCCAGGTAAAAGTCAATTACATATTATTAATTGTTATATAGAAAAATAGTTTCTGTTATTATAAACGATCATTAATCAATATATCTTTTATCCAGAGCTGCTATATTTGTATCAGAATCAGACATATTATCAGTAATATCAGTTTTGAAGAAAGTATCTCAACAACGAATTGTAGAACTCCAAGAACAGGGTACATGGCTCTATCAAAAATATTTTAAATCGATGGAAAAAATAACGGAAACAACATTAGAAATACTTGCAGATCGTGTGTTTCCATATTTAGCTAGAGATTACATATTTTGGAACGAACCTCCTCATAAAGAAAGTATAAATTCTATTAATTAGTATACCTGTAAATAATTTTATGGAAATAATCATTTTTTTATTATTTACATAGGACATTACATCACCACTTTTTTTACCGGTTACTGCACCAAAAACTCGAGGATTTACCGCAGTTATTTTGACTTATGATAGATTGGAATTATTATTTCTTTTAATTAATAAACTTGTTAAAGTCCCCAGTTTGTCAAAAGTTCTAGTAATATGGAATAATCAACATAAAAATCCACCACATTGTAAGTCTAATATAGTAATTGTTATTTCGTGTTTAACTTTTAAACAGTAAAATGACATAACTATATATGTTGCAGCATCCAAATGGCCAAAATTGAACAAACCATTAAAAGTTATACAAACAAAGGAAAATAAATTATCTAACAGATTCTATCCGTATGATGAAATTGAAACTGAAGCTGTTCTATCAATAGATGATGATATTATAATGCTGACAGCGGATGAAGTAGAATTTGCTTATGAGGTTTGTCTATTATACAGAATGGAGGGTTTAAATGAACACTTAAATATTTTTACTGTTTATAGATATAAAAGCTGTAGAACGATTTTAAATTCCCTAAAGAGTTAAGTAAATTTTCAAAAAAAAAATATTTTCCATAAAGTCTTGAAGTAGTTTAACTTAGTTTTATATTATCTTTTTATATATCCATAAACAATGAAAATGTTTAGATATTATTATTTCGTATGAGTAGAGAAAGAGTAGAAATAACAGCAGAAAAAATTATAGGTTTGGAGAGAATTTCCAGATCGAATTGTTGGTTTTCCATCTCGAATTCATATGTGGGATAATGGAACAAATTGTTGGAAGTACGAAAGTGAATGGACCAATAGTATCTCTATGGTGTTAACTGGAGCTGCATTTCATCATAAAGTAAGAACTGCATAATTTATTATTTAAAAAGATTTATTGTCCAATCAAATATTATTTCAGATCCTAAGATGACAGTCCATTTCCCGATGCATAAGATTTCCTTCCTAAAAAGATATATGACACTTCCAATATTTTCCCGTCGTCTTCCAATATACTCGAATGAATATTTCAACGAAGATTAAGCATAACCAATTGAAGTTTGTTGATAAGATACATGGTATATTTTACATTATACTAATATATTAATTAATATTTCAGTATTGGAGTTATATGTATACAACTGCTATGCCAGGTGACATAAAGGAGTGGGTTGATGAACATATGAATTGTGAAGATATAGCTATGAATTTTCTAGTAGCAAATATCACCGGAAAAGCACCAATAAAAGTATCTATAATAAAATTTTGTAAAGTTCACTGTATTCGTATAATACAATATGACAATTATTTCTATTGTAGGTAACGCCAAAGAAAAAATTTCGATGCCCAGAATGTACAAACACTGAAATGCTTTCAGCAGATTTAACGCATATGGTGGAACGCACACAATGCATAAATAGATTTTCTTCAATTTATGGATCGATGCCATTACAGTCAGCTGAATTTCGAGCAGATCCAGTCTTATTCAAAGATGTGTTCCCTGAGAAACTCAAAAGGTTTAATGATATTGGGAGCTTGTAAATATTTTTTCATTTTAATATCTGTTATTTTATAATAGAATTTTTATATTGTTAAATAAATACAAGAATTGTTAAACAATTATGTATAAGTGGTTTTCATTATGTATTACGTGTTAAATAATATCTCATTCGTTACTATATAATTTTTTAAATAATATTCTTATTGATAAGATATATATTCTTATACTACAATGTGTATAGTAAACATTTTCAAACGTATAACTGATATTATTAAAATGACATCAAACGTTAAAAATAAATAAAAATATGTTCGAAATAAAGAGAATCTGAGAATCAAAATATTTATAGTTCAAAGATAAAATCAATTTTATCTACAGTTAAAAGTTAAAGATGACTAAAATTTGAAGAAGTTGGTTGCTCATTATAGAATTTATATTGTTGGCTTATTGTGTTCATGAAAGGATATTTTTTAAATCAAAAATATGTATGATTCCATATATGTATAAAAAAGTTCGACTATTTGTCAAATTTTATACAATGACTTGTTTTAGTCGTTCATTACTAACATCAACATTAACATGTGTTTTATTAAACGAACGTATATCATAAGTTTCTTCTTTTAAGAAACTAACCACAGTTGTAGGCACATAGATAATGTAGAATATCTGTACTAGTTAAGTTGTTTATTAGTGGTTAAATTTTATAAGAAAATCAAGGCACTTTTTATTGTTTAATCGGAAAAATATATAGATTATTTACTATCCACTAAAGCAGTCTCTTCTTCGTCCATTAGAAGTTAATAATCGTTATTTATTTTTAAAAGTAGATATTCTGCACTCTCAATATGTTATAATTATTATCTAAGTCACAAAATAGTAATAATTACATATTTCAAAATATTGGAGTTACATATTTATGATGTTATAAAGTCTCATTAAATGTTCTATTTAATATGTAACTCATTGCCTATGATAAAATCACTGTTTTTTAGGTATGCTACAAACTTTTACCTACATTTATATACTGTATTTTACAGACTATTGATATGTCAAATTACTGTTTGGGCAGTATGGTTTTGTATTTTACTTACTATTTAGTAATAATAAACATGTAGAAAAAAGATTACATATATTCATATGCTAATTTTAAGTATCAATTTTTTCATCAATCTTGAAACATATCCCCTCGACGACTGCTTTTTTGCCCACTTCATCAGATGATAAGCTAGACATGTGACTCTAAAGAAATTCAGAGATATTAATTCTATTTACTTAATTTTTACAAGCTAAAGATACTTACTACTGCTGATTGTTCGTTAGAGTTCATATAACCTATTATCATGGAATTAGTTGAATGACTCCATAAAAGGTCTCCTAATCCTTCCTGTGATGAATATCGAAGAGCAATTACACCTCCAAGTTTTTGTTCAAGTCCAGATAAAAATTTCGAATCTATGAACCAACAAAATTTAATTGTTGTATAATAATGAATTTCATTAATTATACTATAAAATAAAAGAAACTTTTCACAATAACAGATAATAGTAAAGTAGTTACGAGATTTCACCGATAAAATTAACTTTCATGGCATGATGTAAACTAGTGGTTGGGCAAGGGCTATCTGAAATAGCGTCGGCAATTGTGCGTGCCAATGAGGTACGAATTAAGTGTTCCCCACAACCTGATGTGCTTGTTCCTACTGAGTATTTATCTTTATATGCCCAAGTACCACATCCCCATACTCCAGCCTTAAACATATATAACAGTAATACATTAGATATTTATATACAACATAAATGATCCATATAAAAAATAAAAGAGCTATAGTACTTGTCCCACTCTTCCTGGGTATTTTAAAATTATACCACCACTAGAACAAGCTGCAGTAATATTTCCTTCTTTGTCAACACAAATAGCACCAACTGTATCCATTCTTTTTTTGCTGCACTATGAAATTATTAAAAAATTATAATTAGAATAGTGAACAAAGATTTAATAAAAAAAATTGTTCACCTTTTGAATTTCCATATCAGAATCTTCTACTTTCCTTTTGTAATGCTTATATATTTTCTGGGCTTTCACTAAAAATTATAACAAAAAGATAAGTATTAATATGAGTGAAATACGTTTTAAACAAAGATTTTAAATATTTCTAGGTGTTCTGTATACTTGAAATTAATTGTTCTGGAGGCAAAGTTTGTATTCCCATTTCTTGTGCCCATACATGTGCTCCATTGCCAACTAGAAAACTAATGATTTTGTTTTATTATCTCTATTTATATTATAATCTTAATCTTAAAAATTTACCTTGGTGGAATTCTGCCATATGCAATTTTAATTGATTGTTGTTCACAAAGGCGTTTTGCTAACAAAATAGGATTTTTTATGCCACTAACTGCACCAACTGCTCCAAATTGTAATGTACTACCATCCATAACACTAGCATCGCATTCTACTGTTCCTTCTAAAGTAAGATTAGAACCATATCCAGCATTTGTAAGAGCTGAATTTTCTAATATCATTATAGTTTCCACAATTGCATCCAATGTGCTACCACCATTTTTTAAATTCTGTATACCCTTTAAAGATATGTATTTTTTATTAAAATTACGCAAACATAGTTATATGTGTAACAAGAAAAATTATTTACCTTTTCACATGCTTGGCGACATAACTTCTGATACTTTTCCTTAAGAGCATTTGAATGCTTTCCTGCACCTAACGCAATATGCAAATAATAATGTTAATAGCAATCACTGACATACTGCAAAAATATAATTATATTTGTTAATAAAATAACATACCTACGTGAACGGCAATAAAACCTTGATTAACATTACTCATTAGATCTAATTATTTTTAACGATTATAATACTTTTTCGTTTTATTTTATGAATACTTAGTAAAATGTTCACTTATTTATTGAACACAGTGTTATTAAATTCGATTACAGTGGTCAATATTTATCAATTTTACACTTTAATAGTGTGTAATGATCTGTTTAGAAAATTTGATTAGTGTCTTTTATAAATATCAAAAATTCATACACTGACAATATCTAAAATCATCAAAAGGAACATAAAAATGTTAAAATTTCTGTAGTGCGAGAAGTTATGTTCATATTCAAACCATTCAAATTTTTATAATCCTATATACATATGTGTCAAAGTCAAGAAAATTTTTAATGTAATTTTTAATGTTCATGTTCCCAACTTGACTGACATTGTGCACTACTTCAAACCGGCGTTGCCACTCTTTGCAGACGTTTATCTTTATCACTTTCTATAGGCTGTAACGCTATCGCGTGAATTGGATAGGCGCGGTACGACGGTAACGCCGGGCAAGGATAGCTATAGCTGCGTTCCGTGGTGGAAGGTCATAAATTGAGAGGGAACTACGAACGGTTTAGCGAGAACATTATAGACACAGTATATTATTGTAAAACACTCAACGCGGACGGCCGAGCTGAGAGGAAGTCGGAAACCAGAGAATTGATATTTTCAGCTAGAATCATCTTTGGTCCTCACTTCAGCAAACCAGATACATTGTAAGGGGCCATAAATTCTTTTCCAAAGATTGAGACGGGCTACATTTGGTCCTCACTTCGGCGAATTCTATACATTGTTAGCTGTCGACGCGTTCGCTTTTACGAGAACATTGTGTGTTTCTCTGGGTCCCGCGCTTTCTCTCAGCATATGCGCATGGAATCGTTTCGCGCATTAACCAGATCTCCTCCACCATTGGCCCAAGGAGACTCGGAAGGAGAAAACAGAACCAGGGAAGAGAGGATGCGAGCCGACAACGAGCGAGATTTACAACGAAAAAGCAGAAGTCAAAATTCCCACAACCAAAAGTATAAGTTTTATTTCACGCGCCACGAGCAGAGTACCTTAGTACTCCACGGGCACCTTACTCACGTAAAGTTCCCTAAATTTTCCCTAACCGCGAACGGCGTAACGCAACAAGGCAAAGATTTAGAATGAAACCTCTAGCGGAAAAACAGCGAAATAAATTCAATCATAGAGTGCTGCACTTCTGACGTCACAATATAATTTATACAAAGTTTCATGTTGGTAACACTTCACTGTTCAGTTGGTTTAATTTTGAAAATTGACCCCTTAAGTATACATTTAGTACGTAGTGTTAACGGATTCATCATATTTCACATAAAGTTTACAAACTTTTGAGCAAGGTAAGTTAATTATAAAGCTCCAGATAACGATAAATTAATTTTTAATCTGGAATAATTACTTGAAGTAGCTTTGACTGCTAAGAAACATCTGTATCCGTTATGTTTACCTTTAAACATGTCTTTTAAATTCATGTTTACATTTAAATACCCTTTATATCATTTATGGATTGAAAATTACAGTACATCGAAATATATGGGATAAAAGTCATAATAATGGGAAATTACATTAATAAATATTTCTTTCACGATACTGAGACTGAAAAGGAGGAAACAAAAATACAATCTCCTTCCACAGAAGAAGAAATTATAGAAGATAATTTTCATACCCCAGTAATTCAAAAGACATTATCTATTGATCCTAGATCAGTAACTAGTGGCATTGATAGAACACCAATAGAGGTGATTTGTGAGATAATATTTGAATAAAATTTGTGCAATGTTACATACCGTGTTAATTAATAAATAAAATAATATTGATAGGTAAATTCTACTCCTGTTGGAGTAAACAGAAATATGATGTTTTCAATTCCAAGGCATTTACAAACTAAACCATATTTGGAAACAGATCTAGATAAACTTATACTTTTATCACCAAAAAAATCTGCACCCAAAATAGAAGATGAAGAATTACAATATTTGGACATGGTAAATTACCAAAAATTGGTATTTATATTATTTTATCAAGACTTATTTACAAAGTTAATTCATGTATTTTAGGAAAACGAATGTAAAAACATGGAGTTAACACCAACAGTGAACACTTCAATGAATAAAAAGAAAGTTTCACCAATAGATGATGAACGTTATAATATTTTGGGACTTGATCCTAGGTCACCGGCAGCAGATTTCGATAGAACTCCAATGTTAAAGCCAAAGTCTATGAACCTTTTAAAAGCAAGACTCCAAGAAAGTTTACATAGACGTGGTAGCTACGACACAGACATCTTGTATCCAAGATTTTCGTATTGTGAAACTTTATCAGAATATAATATCCCTGAAATACAAGCCCTTCCTGATTTAACTATGTGCAAAGTAAAACCTTTACTTTTGGTTAATGAAGAAGATAGTGATACATTGATTGATTCTGACTCATCAAGTCATTCGGCTACAAATGAAATTGACTGTGGTAAGAAAATTGATATTGTTAAATCTTCTAATTTAAGTTCTGTTACAACTAGCATTAATGTACCTTCATGGTTTCTTGTTTACTAATTTAAAACTATTTACAATAGGTGAAAAACAAGTGGAGAATGAAAATAAAGATGAAAATAAAACAATTTCAAAACCAGATAACTACAATGATATAAACATTAAAACAAACATAAAACGTAAGGAAGTCCATATTACTGATAGTGATACAATAAAAATATGGAGAGATCCATTAATATTGGATGATCCTACAGAATCGCATTCAACTGAATTGCAAACTGTTGAAGACAAAATATCACAGTTGTCTAAACAAGAAGTTATTATAACATTTGATGATGATAGTATTGTTAAAGATACATTATCAATGAAATTATCTAAATGTGAAATTAATAAAAAAAGGGTAGATGTAACTAAAAAGAAAAAGAAAGTTTTCAAGATGGAGGATAACATTCTAGCAGATGAAAAGAAAATATATAATTGTAATAAGAAAAGTGGAAATGAACCTACAAAGGTACTTATATATATTATTAATTATATTGAAATAGATAAGCATACTAACTATTCTTGCTTTCAGATTCGAACTCCTCTTGGTAATCGCTCAAACAATGGACAAATCCAAACAAAGTTAACAACAAATTCTCCTCAACAAGCGATTAGAAATAAAGGCATAAAGCCCAAAGTTTTGCAAGAGAATATGTCACCATACAAAAATTATATGGCAAAATATAAATTGAATGGTACAGAATGGGATCCAGACTCAACGGTTATTATTTAATAATTAAAATTACGTAAAATTACTAATTTGTGATAGGAAGAATTCAAATGAAATTTTATATAGAAATTTCTTAATTTTGAGAAGTTTCTCAGATTATTGTAAAAATGAATAATTATATCTTACGAATATATGTATAAAATAATAAAAATGTATTTATTTCGAACAACAATAAATAGTTTTATAATGAAATGATTCTTTTTTTAATTATCTCACTTTATTACAATGAATTGTTTGAATTACTTGTTTGCATTGCTGTTCGTACCTTTGACTTAGCTTCTTGAATGGAAAATTGAAGATCTTGACTTGGTTGTATTAATTGTGACACACTAAAAAAAATGTATTAGAAATAAAGTAAAGAGAAGTATTAAGTTAGACATTAGGTGTAACATACCTTGGATCTTTTATTATAATTCTCTTCTTGTCCATATCATTTTGTTGAATTAGTTTAATTTTTATATTATTTTTAACTTTTTTAGGATTACTGAAAACTTTTTTTTCAGAAGTGTCCCATGTTACTATAGTGCTTGTGTTTACAATTGAAGGTCTTACTACTCTAACTTTCACACCATCATCGACAGGCTGTCCTTTGTAATTTTTCTTCTTGCTTTTAACATCAGACCTTGATATTTTTGTATCATTTATTGTTGCTCGAATAATAGCTTCATTTGAATGATATGGGGCTTGAGGTACCGCAGATGTAATTGATTTTTTATCTTCATAGTCATTTGAAGTTGAAGGTAAACTAGGTTCAGACACTAGCCTTGGATCTATGTTTTGTGGTATACCATTATAAATGGAAGTCAATGTCTCCCCAGGATAATGTTTAATTAAACGTTCTTCTGTTAGTGGTAAAGCTGGTGTTCTTTTTTTCCTATGATACTGTTCTCTGTAATTTATTATTGAATATCATTTGATTTTGTACTTGATCATAATTTTTACTTTGTAGACTTTATAGAGAACTATTGTTGCAACATACTGAGGAACAAATTTGTCTATATTCGGATTCAATGCATCTTGCTGATTCCTTTTTATTCGTATAGCTACTTCTCGAGAACGTTGAGCAAGTTTAGCTTTTGTTTCTGCTACAGTTTCCATTTCAGGAACATAAAATATATGTAATAAACCCCCATAAAAATTTTTACCATCGATAAATCGTTTTGCAATTCTGTACAACATCATTTATGAATATAGATAAAGTAGGTAGTTACATAAGAAACATTAAGTAATGCGCCAATATAGTTATAAAAGGATATATAAACCTTGCACTCTGTATACGAGCATATTGTACATAATAAGCTTCTGTGAATTCTTCTGTAGGATATTCAGGTACTACATGTATTCTTTTTATATCTCCATATGGCTCCACAAGCTTCTTCACATCTTCGCCTAATCGAAGTTTTGGTACTCCACATATCATAAGATGTTTTGATTCATCATTTATTGTATAAACCTGTTACACAGAGCTAGCGTGTCAAGGAAATATTACAATAAATATAGAAAATATTATATTAAAAATTGTCATTAAGAAACTGTAAAGTGTGAGATAAATAAGGCTATAAAGGTTACTGAATGTAAAAGTATTTTGTTATTTCATATTGAATAGGATACAAGTCCACAATGCTACCTTCACGGATGTCAACCTTTTTCCTTGTCTATAAGGTGGTCTTGTATGACAAAGCTTCTGTTGCACATGATGAGGAAGTTTTGTTAATTTACATTCATCATTCATGATTTATAATCTTTTATTATAATGGTATCTTGCTGTTTGTTTTTAAAATAATATTAGTATGAAGATACATAACTACATTTGTCATCCAGAAGTTCAAAAATAAATTGTAGTACGCTGTGTTTTAAATATATTCTTGTAGTGTATCTATAAAATTTTGTAGATATACATATAACGTTTTCTATAACAACCAAGCCTTATATATAAGTATTTTATTACAAAAAACGTTATCTCAATTATCCCAGCTGTTACATATCAATAAACTGCAATTATAGAAACTCGAGTAACTTCGCACTTATTTTCAGAATAACATGAAGTTTGGGTCAATTTTAGTAACTTAACAGGTGTTCCTTTATGTTAAAAATATATAATATTTTGTTACATTATTAGAGGGATAGAATGTAGATGTAGAATGAAAGATAATGAATTTCGACTAGGTATAAATTTTAAAATATAAAATCAAGAAAGTTGAGATTTAAATAAATATAATAAATCTTAAAAATCCCTATTTATTATCTAATCGGTTTTATATATTTTCTCTAAAGAAATATTAAATTAATATATTTTCAACAATTTGTGCATAAAATGATTGTGCTTAACGAATAATATTAATTCTGAAACATGTAATATAATAATTCCCTAAAACTGCCGACGGAAGTGAAAACGTATGTAAACGGATGTCATCGTCCAGAAGAGTAATGGCGTTCATAGCGGACACACAATTTTCTTACTGTTTGTCCGTTGCGTTTAAATTTCCATATTAAAAGTAGATCTCTCTATTTGTCGATATATTCGTTGAATAATGTTTCTTTTAATTTCTACACTTTGTTAATTGTGTCGAAAACCTCTTTTTTATATTCGGTGCAGAGAAGTGGTTGTGTACATTTCAAGGGTTTTATAGTGGGACAGCATCAAAGAAAATTCGTTCGCAATTAATGAGCAGGTGTTTATCAGTTTTTATAAACATGTTCTCTTACTTATTGCAACGGTTTTTAAATGTATAATATTTGAATTTGTTGAACTGTTTTCCATTTTATAGAAAATTATAGTCTAACCTTTGCTAGCGTTCCAATTTCAGTGAAAGTAGATTTAATCGATCATTTACGAGTTTTGCATATTTAATTATATAATATTAAATCAATTGAAAAAAGAATTAATTTTGTTTCAATGCGGGTGAATAAAGCATAAAATGTTTTTATCGATTAGAAGTCAGTATTTTACTTTCACATATTGTGGAAGTGCATTTTGTGTCTTCTTATGTTTAGATGTATAGATGCATATTTCAATTAAAAGTTTTCTGTCAATGTTCGTACTATTAGGGACTTATTGTAATTAACAATATTGTTCTTTAGTCAACATCATTTATAAATATTTAGATCTAAATTTAATTTTATTTTCACTCATTAGTCAATCTGAAAATATATTGCATGGCATATACGAATTTATTGAAAATTATTTGCAAACCGTATTTATATGCAAAATTAATAAAAAACTAAATAGAGCTCATTAATAAATTATTAATGAAAAATGTAATTTATGTTTATTTACAGAATTAATAACTGCAATGGGTTCAACATAGCATCACTAGAAGATATTAAAAAACAAATATGTTTGTCCCTTATTATCCATTTAGATTATATTTTCTTTTATATATTTGAATTGAATATAACATTTGACAAATCATTTCATTATGTCTGCAAATACTCAATTCGCAAATCCTCCACCAGCTATAAGCTTACCTAATATGTCAGTGCCACCACCAGCAACTCCAAATTTATCAGCTCCACCTCCTAATTTAACTACTATCAATACATCTGGGAGCTATCAACATCGTTATACTAACCATAGAGACGGAGCTCGTGGTTTTTTCAAACCATTTAGACCTTACCATGCTCCCAAAATTGTTGCTGCCGGCCAAGATAGTTTGCAAGATGAATTTGATGGGAAAAGGCTTAGAAAATCTGTTATGCGCAAAACTGTTGATTATAATTCCGCTATTATAAAAAGTTTAGAGGTAGGGTTTTAATTAGCATTACAAAATTTTATTGAATCAGTGATAAGTGGGACTAATGTGATGGATCTTGTGTACGTAGAATCGAGTATGGCAAAGGGACTATCGGGACAGAAGAGCTCTTCAGCCAGATGTAATGTATTATCCTGATTTACTCCCACCACCCAGTTATGTTGACAATCCGATAAATGCAGTCACCACAAGATTTGTGAAGACGGCGACAAATAAAATGCGTTGTCCCATCTTTTGTATGGCTTGGACACCAGAAGGTAGACGTCTGGTTACTGGTGCATCTAGTGGAGAGTTTACTCTATGGAATGGCCTTACTTTTAATTTTGAAACTATTTTACAGGTATGTTATGTTCTTTGACAATATCCTAATTATAATTTATGTTATACTATATCAAGTAAAATAGTATTTTCTTAATACCTTTTCTGTAGTATTATTAAAATGTTTATGCATTAAAATTTTCTGGGATGAGAACTATAATATTAAAAATTTTTAAGATTAAAGAATAAATATCTATTTAAATATTGAACTTTTGTAAATGATGTACACTGGTTTTAGATATATTGATAAGAAATCAATGTTTTCTGTGCAGGCACATGATAGTCCAGTGAGAACAATGGTATGGTCACACAATGAGAGCTGGATGGTCACAGGAGATCATGCAGGCTACGTCAAGTATTGGCAGAGCAACATGAACAACGTCAAGATGTTTCAAGCTCACAAAGAAGCTATTAGAGGACTCAGGTATACCATCCACCACACTAGTCCTTACGTCTCTTGCGCCACTGTTATCGATGATCCGTCCATCCTTGCTGTAGTTAAGATACTGGACATGACTCTCATTCTCTTCCTTCTCTGGTTTGATGGCTCTTCTGCTACAAAAATAGTGATTCTTGTATGGGTACACAGGTGATTTCCAGAGATTTTATAGCGTTCAAAAAGTTTTCTGACATAAGGCGCATAGGAAATGTGCAAATAG